GGCATTAGCTCAGTAGTAGCCTTTGGATATACACCCCAATAGGACTTGGCAAACTCTCAGGATTAGAATCAGCTATTTCAGACTTACTGATACTTAATAATGGTTTCAGTGGATCCTAGTTCTAAATTACTTCTAAGCCAGGACCCTGGGTTCTTCAATGAGTCAAGTTCCTACCTGGAACATTTGTAGCTTATGCTTTAAATACTGAATTCAAAGATCTTACTTATATCAGGCATCTTAATTCCTCTAGGTAGCTTTGCAACCTTTTCTGATAACCTAGAATGGAAACTGACCCCAACCCCCTGCCTTTAATTTAGATTATTGACACCTTGGTGTGTGCTACAAATAACTGGAACTTGATCATTCCTAGAAGTCAAATGAAAATGTCTTAAAACATAAGTTCTATTGACTGTGTCTTAACCTAAGACATTGAGAAGATATGATAAAACATTTATGGAACTGAATTGCATTAGGCTTAGGAGTTAAAGGTGCTCTTGGAATCTCAAGGATGACCAAAACCTCCTATTCTAGGCCTTACTTCCATTTATTTATTTATTTATTTATTTATTTAATTTTTTTTTGAGACAGGGTTTCTCTGTAGCTTTGGAGCCTGTCATAGAACTAGCTCTTGTAGACCAGGCTGGCCTCAACTCACAAAGATCTGCCTGCCTCTGCCTCCCAGATTAAAGGCATGTGCCACCACCGCCCGGCTTAGGCCATGCTTTCTAAAGCAGGATCAATGTGAGGAATTTTCCGTAGCCTGTGAGTGGTAGGAATAGAGTGGGACCCAGGCTTTCCCAGAATCTCTGAGCTCTAAGGTCAGATATGAGGTGGGAGGATTCAGCAGGATTTGAACCCTCTTCTTTTTCCCATTTTCTACTCCTGTGACTCTTTCTCTCTGTTCTGTCCATTCTGGCTTTCCTATCCACTCCTTTTCTTTTTTTCTCCTATTCTCTGTTCTTTCTCTTTTTCTCCTACCAGTTTCTCTTTCCTTCACTGGGTAAATGGAAATGTCATTTCCCTTATTTTCATCACCATTTCTTTCTTTATTTACTTCCTACCATTTCTGTATCTTCCTTTTCATTCTCTTTTTAGTGAACCTTATCTCCCACCAGCTTCTCATCTAGCCGGTAGAAGGTGAATTCTGATCTCATATTTTCCTTATTATCATTTCCTTTATCTCCTTGCTTACCTTTCTTCTTACTCTTTTATTTCTACCTCCCTTCCCTTTCTCCACAAACAGGTCTGGATCATTTCTTGTTTTCCCTTCTCTGTCTTTTAGCTTTGCCTGTTTTTCACTTTGAGACACACTGGCCCTTAGAGTGTGAGTACTCTCAGCCTGGGCCCTGGGCAGCTCTCTGGATGAGAGACAGTTTTTAGTAGATAGTTATTAGAACATGTCTCTGTGATAAACTGGAGGAAAGAACCTCTTAGTTGCCTCTGAAAGTTTTTATGCCCTTAGGGGACTTTAACATCATGTTGTTCCTTTCTTTGCTTTCCTCTGCACAGGCTATGGTGAGTGCATCCAGGGCCCTTCCCCATCCTCTTAAGAGTCCACATTCCCAAATTATTTGGACCCCTCTCAACTGATGTTTTGCTGAGGTTCATGAATTCTGCCTGCTCAATTTCTGCTGCCTTAATGAAGTCATATGTCTTCCAGGGGCCCCCTTTAAGACTTTGGCTTGGCAGAAACATGGAGTTCCTCTACATAAGAACCTGGCTAGCAGGACAGCCCCCATTATTGAACTTTACTTTCTGTCCTGTTTGACCTTCACTGCCCCTTTTTACTTGCCAAATACCCCGTTTATTTGGGCTGCTGGCCTTTAATGCCCCATGGATTGGGTGTGGGGAGGTATCTGGGCATAGGAGTTAGCATGGATGGTTCTTATATGTGACTCTGATAACTTGTGTGTGTATCTCATTCTTATAACCTGTTCCTTACTATATTCTAAGCTTTTCATTTTTCCTTTGCCTTCTCATAGACAAGGAATTTCTATGGGATAAGACACCCTAAGAGTAGTGAAAGAGGAAAGCCCTTTGGATGGTGGATATCCTGAAAGAAGTACCATACTAACATTGCTAGAACAGTCCCTTGAGGACCTGGGGTGTTACATCTTAACCTAGGACTCCATTACCTATTACCCAGGGGCAGTTTCTAAATGACAGTAAAAGTAGAATGGTTATCTGTTATAGTCAAGTAGTATTAGAAACTGAAGCTGTCTCTTCAGGACTTTGCTAGTCTTTTGTGGCAACCAGGGTTGACAGACAGCTCTTCTCTCATAGTCACTGGTTCAGTCACGGAAAGCGGGGATTACTTCTGCAATGGCTACACGTACCTCTCTCAAGGATGAAGAGCTGGTAAGTGACTCATGGACTTTCGTTGAGTCTACTGGCATCAGGATTGATCATCTTTGTAGCTGTACTAACTATGAATTTTAAAATTCTGGGCATATATGGTTGTCAAAATAATATCTGGTCTTAATTTTCTACACTGGGAGAAACAAGAGTCCAGATTGGAGTATTAAAGCATATGGCCACTGATCTTGGGGTTTTGTTTTTTTTAAAAGATTTATTTATTTATTATGTATACAGTGTTCTTTTTGTCTGCTGGCCAGAAGAGGGCACCAGATCTCATTACAGTTGGCTGTGAGCCACCATGTGGTTCCTGGGAATTGAACTCAGGACCTCTGGAAGAGCAGTCAGTGCTCTTAACCTCTGAGCCATCTCTCCAGCCCCTGATCTTGGGGGTTTTATAGTGAGTCTTTTGCCCTCTTGTTTCTCTAGAGTGAATGAATGTTCAGATTCAACTGTGTGCCCACATTGGATGACTAGAAGTACATTTAGTGGGGCCTTCTCTGTGCCAGGCTGGGCTCTGGGCTGGCCCAGGCTAGGTTGTGTTATTCAGAGAAGAAACCAGGTTGCAGCCCTGGCACTTTTCAGCATGATCATACAGTTGTTGGTATGTGATGGGGCATGTGTCTTTCAGAAATCCCATGTGTATAAGAAAACTCTGCAGGCCTTAATCTACCCCATCTCGTGTACCACACCCCACAACTTTGAGGTCTGGTCAGCTACTGCTCCTACCTACTGCTATGAGTGTGAAGGTTTGCTCTGGGGCCTTGCCCGGCAAGGCATGCGCTGCAGCGAGTGTGGAGTCAAGTGCCATGAGAAGTGCCAGGATCTGCTCAATGCCGATTGCCTACAACGTGAGTCGTCCCACGGGATGAGGACTGGGAAGCAGGGACAACGGGGCCTTTTTAAAACAGTCTGCAGCAAACAGCAATGGTGTCTGGTTTATTGTTTTCTATTCTAATTTACTCTGAGAGCCTTTACTTTTCAGAAATGTAAGAGATCAAGAATCAAGAGATACTGCCTTTCCAAACAATGGGCCTTACATTTTCCCTTAACTTCCTTTAGGGAAAATCCTTGAACTTTCTATAGCTTTCTGTTGGAGCTCAAGTCTCTTGCAAGATTTCATTTGGTTCCAGAGGCTCAACTAGAATAGTATATACACCATTGCTCATGTGACTAGAGCATGTTTAATCAAGGACTGAGAGGACAAGAAAAGAGAGTTCTTTGAATTTCCAGGCCTCCCAGAGAAGCCTCCCATAGGTCTATCTAGATCCTAGGAGACAGAATTTATTACTTGTAGACAGATCTTCTAGACAACAGAAGTTTCAGGTAGATGGAGCAACAGTCTATAAGAAAAGTGTACCAGGTGCTCAAAGCCCAGCTACGTATATCACGTGTGCCGCTGATGGTATTTGTACATAGGAACAGGAAAAGCAACAAGTTCCTAGCAGGGAAGGTGATAGTACTCAAAGTTACTGCCACTCTGCCCAACTTTTACTGAGTATGCTCTCAGTGTAGCCAGACTCCAGGAAGAGTGGCAGTAAAGGAATGTAGGTAAGTATTCTCTTAGCCCTCCATGTATCCCTGCTGTTACTCATAATAATGCTTTAAAGGTTGTAGTAGAAGAAGATAAGCAGATAATAATTGTAACCATTTCTTGAGCAATTGCTGCATGCCGGGAAAGAATGTGTATCATAATACACATGTTGAAAGACTGTGTATTACACTCTTGTGCCAGGCATGATAGGACACACCCTTAATCCCAGCATTGGAAGGCAGAGGCAGGCATATCTCTATGAGTTCAAGACCAGCCTGGTCTACATAGTGAGTTCTTAATTCTAGGACAATTAAGGCTACATAGTGAGACCCTGTCTCAAATAACAAAGTAAAAAGAAAAAAATCCTGAGAGATAAATGCCACTGTTTCCTCACAGAGAGAAAGTAGTTCACAAAACTAGGAGTGGTAGAACTAGGGTTTAAACCCAGGTTTGATACCAAAGATTTTATTTTCTTATCATACTACACTATTTGCTGAGATTAAAAGCACTAGAACCATAGAGCACAACCCAATTGGCAGGCAAGATTGGCCGAATTGTCATGGCCACCTACCATTGCTCCACAACATCTGAAACACCCTTTGGATATATGTTGACCATAGAGTTAGAGACTTGATGGAGACTCTTCCAATATTTGTCTAAACAGAATAGTATAATGAATTCCCATCATCATTATCAAGATTTTGCTCCCTTTCAAATTTTATTTTAAACTCCTCTGGGCAAGCAGCAGGCATCACAGTGATCACCTTTTTGAAGGGAATTCACAGCATCCTTAAGCTTCCCCCATTATTTCATGCCTCTTCCCAACACTTCTTCCTGGCTTGACCTTGATCTGGGAGGTAGTCTGTTGCTTAGTTCTGCTCTCTGGGCCATCCTTCAGGGGCTGCTGAAAAGAGCTCTAAACATGGAGCTGAGGACAGGACGCAGAACATTATTATGGCTATGAAGGACCGTATGAAGATTCGAGAACGGAATAAACCAGAGATCTTTGAGGTTATCCGAGATGTCTTCACAGTGAGCAAAGTTGCCCACGTGCAGCAGATGAAAACAGTGAAGCAGAGTGTCCTGGATGGTACCTCCAAATGGTCAGCCAAAATTACCATCACTGGTAAGCAAGCTAAAGCTTACGGAGACCGTGGGGAAAGCACGAGGAGGTAGCATCTCATGTATGAGGGAGCAAGGTGTTGAGGAGAAAGAATCTATAACTGAGAAGAAAAGAGAATCCTATCATCCATCACTCCTCTCCCACTTAGACCCTGGTGCTAGAAGAAGCCAGTATTCACAAGCACTATGAACCGTAATACAAGCATATCCAAACAATCTGACATTGTACACTCAGTTGGATTTTTATAAAAATGGCATGGGAGGAAAGGGGTAAGGAGGAGACCAAAGACTAGTTCACTAGTGGTTTGCTAGTATGGTAGGCAGAACTGAAGCATGTGTATATTAGAGAGTTAAGGACCAGTGAGATCGGTGGCCATTGATCAGAAAGTACTCAGGGAAGGAGATGAGATTCTTGGATTAAACTTTGAAGGAGAGGCTGATAGCCTATGGCTAAGGTTAAATGTGGAGAAGTAAGGCGCTAGACTTGCTGTGCATATACAGGAGGCTTCTCTGAGTTGGAGAGAATGTGGTCAGTGCTATGGGAACTTGTGACTTAACTCTGAAATGTACTTTTCTGATTTGTGCTTGGGTTGCAGTGGTTTGTGCCCAGGGCCTACAAGCCAAAGATAAGACAGGATCCAGTGACCCTTATGTGACTGTGCAAGTTGGGAAAACCAAGAAGCGCACCAAAACCATCTTTGGAAATTTGAATCCTGTTTGGGAAGAGAAGTTCCATTTGTAAGTCACAGAGGGGTAGGCACACATGACTCTCTGTCTGGAAACTTATATATTTTAGAAGCGATATTAGAACCCACTTTTCTGGCTTGAGCCCTAAGACTGCATAAAGACTATGGAGATTCTCACCTGCCTCGCTGGGCAGCAGCCATACTTTCTTTGGGTTTCTTCTTACAGTCTTTGGTAGTTTACCAAAGCCCTGTCTTAACTAGGTCAGTTTATGGGTCCTGGGGCTTTTTCTAGCACTAGAACAATTTTACTACTACCCTGTTACTACTCCCTAACCCTGCTTAGAAAGTATTAAGTTTTTCTCAGGACTGAGGAAAGGATGTCTTGGCCTATAACTGGGTAATTATGCTTGAAAATGGCAATCAGGTCTGGAGACGTTTCCCTCTTTCCTAAGGAAAGTCTTTCTTCCTACCCCAGCATATTCCTCCGTTCCTTTCCCCTTACCTCTCTTTCTTACAGACTATTTCACTATATCCTAGAATTTGAATGAAAGTCTGGAGTGGCCAAATGCTTTGTCTTACATCCCTACTCCCCAAAGTATAAGACCAGGACTTTGGGTCTGAATCTGCTGAGCAGGCTGACTATATAGAAAGCAGGCTCTGCTGACTCCTCTGAGCACTCAGGGAAAGGGATTGGGATACAGTGAAATTACTGTCCAGTTCAGGTAGCAATTACTGAGGAAAGCTCCTGTGTGTTTGAGAATCTGAGTCGTTCCTGTAGCTACTTTAAAGTGGACTGGTTCACGGTTGTCATCTTTTACTCATTATAGATGAACAATTTATTCAGTTCCTATATGCAAGATACTTTACATGGTACTGTTCATCTCAGAATGGGTGATAGAGTTTCTGTCTTCAAGATGTGCATTGTTGATTTATCCATTATTTTTTTCAGTAGAGAAGTAACTACTATAGTATAGTATTTTAATGGAAATATCTTGACTCTAGAAAGATATGAGAACAGAGGGAATTGAGTAAAACATTCTGCTTAGTAATGGTTTGGGGTGAGAGACCAAGATTCAGAAAACAGCTTCTAGGTAGGAGAACAAATGGAGACAGGCATCTCCCTTTTCCAAAGCAAAAACACCACAGAAGAGAACAGCCATTCAAGGGAATAATAGAGTGGTGGAAGTTCTTAAGCCCTGAGTTGGGTACATGGGGGAATTAGAAAACCTAAGCAGATATAACCTGATCACCCTACCAGGATCATGTCTTGGACTCTGAGGAAGGGGCTACCAGTTGTTTCTGGAGCCCTAGTGTTGTCCTGTTGGAATTGATGATACAGTTAGCTGCATAAGAAGCCAGACTTGACCGTAACCACTCATTTCCTACCTATCCATAAGGATTGAAAACCTTTTGCTTGGATAGACTAATTCACTTGGAATTTGAGTACCATAATCTGCTGTAATTTTCTTTTTCTTTTTCAAGTGTAGTTAGTTGGTGGAGCTTTGGGGGCTGGAAACTGGAAGTGATAGTGATGCTGCTAGCTAGGTCTGTCCAACCTAATTCTCTACCTGCTTCTTTCACAGTGAGTGCCACAACTCTTCCGATCGCATCAAGGTACGTGTGTGGGATGAGGACGATGACATCAAATCCAGAGTGAAACAGCGACTGAAGCGAGAGTCTGATGATTTCCTTGGTCAAACCATCATTGAGGTTCGGACACTCAGTGGAGAGATGGATGTCTGGTACAATCTGGGTGAGGAAACTGAATCATAAAATGTTACTGTGATTGGAGACCATTCTGAGGAATCTAGGAAATCTATCAAATCACCAAACTCCAGATCATATCCTATATAAAACTTGTCTTACCTTTAGAGAGCTGACCATTGGTAATGGTGGAAAACAGAATGGCAATGGCTAAAACTTAGTTCTAGCTTTTATATTCTTCAAGTTTCATATCTTTTCATCTCCATCCTAATCCCTAATCCTTGTAAGTCTCTGAGCACTCCTGTTCTTCCACTTAGTACGGGGTTATTTATAGAATGTGTGGCCACTTGGGTTGTTGCCATTCCCGCCCCCTTGAATTAAACCAGGATAGGGCTATATCTGTAGTTGCATTGCTGTGAATCCCAAGTCTTCTTTCCTTTGTAGAAAAGAGGACAGACAAGTCAGCTGTCTCGGGGGCTATTCGACTACAAATCAATGTGGAGATCAAGGGAGAGGAGAAGGTAGCCCCATACCATGTGCAATATACATGTCTTCATGAGGTGAGCAGTGCTTTGTAAGTGAAGAGATGGAAAGCAGGAGTGGGTTTTGACTATAAGAAAGATTTTCAGGTTCTTGGAGACCTAGGACTATTTTTGTTGTTGTTTTATTATTGGTTCATTGTGCTACTTTGGTTAACCTGAGGGACTAGACCTGTGGTTCTTTTCTTTCAGTATGAGAACTGCCTGCAATGACCTTTGGAAAGACTGAGCAATGATGTAAAGAAAATTTTCTACTGAAATTTTTAGTTATGATATGCTTGTAACCCTTTGTTCTCTCTACTCTGTGTCCTGCAGAACCTTTTCCATTACCTCACAGACATTCAAGGCAATGGAGGAGTCTGGATCCCAGAGGCTCGGGGTGATGATGCATGGAAGGTGTACTTTGATGAGACAGCCCAAGAAATTGTGGATGAATTTGCCATGCGCTATGGCATCGAGTCCATATATCAGGCCATGACGTGAGGCTCCCCTGGGGTCCTGGGAAGTAGCTACTAATGCTTTAGGTAGCTAATGAAGACACAAGACATAGTAGATAGGTGCTTAGTAACCATAAAGTGCAGTGATTCCATACTTTCCTCTTTGAACTGGGTGGAGTGTGTCCATGCCTTAATGCAAAAAAGCATGTATTAGAAAGGGAGCATATTTGCCAGCATCTCATGAATTTGCCTGTTTACCCACCAAGATCATGATTAGGAAAGGAAAAAGGCGTGAGTAGGTATACAAAGACACAGATGCAGATATCACATGTCTGAGCAAATACAGCATGTTTTTGCCCATGTATGCATATGCATAGCCAACAAGCTGACCTAGATTGAGTCAACAAAGAGTGCTCTAAACTGTAGGGAAAATATTTCTCTGTGGAATCCACCAGTACACCTATAATAGAAATTCTTGTTTATAGGGAGAAACATCAGTTGGTGATATTGCCATAGAGGTGTACATATGAATCCATACTGCAAAGCAGAGGAAGGCGATTTGATCTGGCTTTACTTTCACAAACTATAATTGGCTTCTTACTTGACTTCTACTACAAACTGTGAAAAGTCTTTGAGAATGTGGTTTCTGTTTTTCAGGCATTTTGCATGTTTGTCATCCAAGTACATGTGTCCTGGTGTACCAGCAGTGATGAGCACCTTACTGGCCAACATCAATGCCTATTATGCTCACACAACTGCCTCCACTAATGTCTCTGCATCTGATCGTTTCTCAGCCTCCAACTTTGGTGTGAGTGTGATGAAATACACATACCAAAATGCTACCATTTGATGGTTTGGTGTGTTCTGGCCAGTTATATAGATTGACTGATGTGCCTAATATTCAGATAGTTGCTACCTTGAAAGATAATCCTTTTTTCCCCTTCTTAATAGACTATCTTAAGACTCTAAGAAGTGATGGCACTGCTATGCTCTAGAAGACATTGCTGTGTCAGCCCAGACAAAACTCCTCTAGTCAGGACCATAACTGAATCACAATCCTGTTTAGTCTTGCAGCCTTTACTCAGAATGCCACCTGACATAAATTCAGGATAAACAGGATGAAATGACCTATCACGAATGTTCTGTCTGTAGGCATAAAATTACTGATATCCCCACAGTCTACTGCATCTGTGGTCCCTGACTTTGGGTATTTATAATGTTTTGTTGTTAATAGATTTTTTTCTGTAGATGAGTTAATGTTACTGATTAGGCCAATCAGATCCCATTATATATTGAATTAATATCTATTGATGTAATCAATATAATGAATTCTAGAAATGTGCTAATAGCCTATAGGCATGTGATTCTACAGGCACTTTTTCTATGAAAATCAAACTGTTAAAATAGTACATATTATATATTTTAATCTTAAAATATACACTAAGGAAAATTGCATGAAACTTAGTTAAAAGAGACACTTCTTATGTCTTTCTGGCATCTTTCAAATACATCACTATTTTCTCTCTCATCATCATTGCTAGACTCTGTCTGTTAAGAATGCCCCGGGATAGCTGGGTAATAGTGGTGCATGCTTTTAAGCCCAATACTTGGGAGGCAAAGGCAGGTAGATCTCTGAGTTCAAGGACAACCTAGTTTACAGAGTGTGTTCTAGGACACTCAGGGCTACCCAGAAACCCTGTCTTAAACCCCCTGCTCAAAGAAAAAGAATACCCAAGAGGCTCTTTGGCACCGAGGTGGCAAGGAAGAGGTGAAGACCCAGTCTCTGTTAGGCCCCTCAGGCCCCAAAGCTATGTAGACTGAGTGGACACTGGCCTCACTGTGCTGGCTATAGCTGTGGGAAGGTGGGCTAGGGGGTCTTATAGGTAAGTGAGGCAAGGGGCCTGTGATGGAATGAGGAAGATCCAGAATGTGGTAGTCTGTGTAGGAAAAGTGTCCTAAGGGGAGGGAAGTTGGGAGCTTGGGAGTGTCTGATTGGGGCCAAGATTGCAAAGTGAAGGTAGCTAGAAGCAGAGTGACTTGGGTGCCCACTGCTCTTGTCCATCCGCATGCCTGGCTTCCTACCCCCCCTCCCCGCCCACCACCACTTTGAGTTAATAGCCACTCATTGGCAGGGCTTGAGTATGGTTTGTCTTTTCCCAGCTCTTCCAAGGTCCTCATTACCTGCAGAGAATCTGGAAGGGCTTCTGAGGGACATTGAAGGCTGTGGCTCTGAGACACTCTTGAAAACCATACTTTGCCTCTACAGCCTCAGTTCCACTACCCCTGACAATTCCAGACCTCTCTTTCAATCTCTCTGTGAGCTATTTTGGGCTTGTCTCTTCCTCTTAGTCATATGAGTCAAACCAAGGATGACTCAGCTAGATGACCCTCATCTTAGACCTTCCCAGACTCTGCTGCTAGGGTTGGGAAGAGCAAAGCAGAAACTGTCTCTTCAAAGCACCCAGGATGAGGTCCCAGCCCAGCCCTGAGTCTTTTTTTTCAGTGAACCTTTCCCCAAGTCCTTGGACCCACAAGATGTGACTGATGCTCAGGGATACCCAGTCCCCCAGCCCTGCTTGATCACGTCACTAATTACTTCCAGTGCTCTCTAGTGCCTTGAAGGTTTCAATCATCTTCTAGATATGGCATGAATAATCTATATACACTGTTTAAGCTTCTGTCATCAACAAATGCTTTATTTAAAGCTCAAAAGAAAAATACACCAACAGAAGTCCAGAGATCTCAGACTTAGGAGCAAGTCAGAGAAAGTGTTTGAATTTCCTTTTGACTGACTAAGATGAATTAAAGTCTCAAACAGACAGAGAATATACTTACTGGTCACATCCTTGTGTTTAGAAAGAGATTTTTCCCTTTCAAGGGATATGGATGTCTCTTTGTCAGCGTGAAAAGGTTTCCTAGTTTAAGACAGTGCTGCTGAGAAAACAATAGAACTGGGTTCACCTAGTCTGTTCTCCTTTACAGTGATTGTTCCCATGGGCAGAGATTAGAAAAGATGTGTTGTCCACCGGATGCCCCCTCCCACTCTCTTTTTCATTGTTTTTTCTCACCCTCAGAAAGAGAGATTTGTGAAACTGCTGGATCAACTACACAACTCACTGAGAATAGACCTCTCTACTTATAGAGTAAGTGAAGACATGCTGTGAGTAGAGTAATAAGTAATATCAAACTCAATCTGGAAGACACAGGAAAATCTTAGTTATAAGGATGAAAGGCAAGGAAACTGATCTGTGTCATTATGCCCACCTGGATGCCCAATGCCGTTAATACCATGGTTCTTCTGACTCAATGTCATAATACCATGTATGACAGCTTTTAGTGGACAGGTCGCTTTCCAGCCCTATTCATACCACTCTAGCCAACTTTCTAACGACATAATCTCTCCCAGAACTTCCCTTAAAATATTAGATACTTAGTCATATTTCTCTCTCCCTCCCTCCCTCCCTCCCTCCCTCTCTCCCTCCTTCCCTCCTTCACTCTCTCCCTCTCTCTTCCCTCTTCTCAATCCTGAGGAGACGTATGAGTCTTTGGCCAGGGGAAGAAAGAGTAGTCTGTCTTGGACAAGTAAACTATATTAGGTGTTATACCTTTTTCTGGTATAGGAGGAAATAGATGTAGGACAGTGGGCACTCAGGATGAGAAATGGACATCTTCTCAGCTCCTTTTAAATTGGATCTTCTTATACTGGCTTTATCACTCGCTTCAAATGTTAGGAATGTCCACAGCAAGCAGTGCGTGTACATTAGAAAGTAAGTGCAAGAGCAGCCTCCAGCTTAACAAAAGTGAGGCTTTGGTTATCTGCACTTTTCTTACTCTGCATTTGCACGAATAATGGAGAAATAACTATAATCTCACCTTTGGCATTAGTAGCCATCTACCAGCTTAAAGCTGACAGAGTGGAGAATAGCTCAGTCTTTCCTTTCAGCTCTCCATGACAGCTTCCTCCTAAAATTTATGTCAAAGAGAATGATCTGTGACATACAGGAAAATCCTAAGGAATTTACTTCAAAGATTTCGTTCAAAACTCTGCCATCTGCTGGTGTCAGAAAACTAGACAAGCAGGA